TCGCGGAAAAGTGGTTATTTTTTCAACAATTTTAATTGAATCGAATGAAATATTCAGAATGATTTTCTTTTGAATAGCAATACATTTTTTAACAGATAATCAGGATATAATTATATACCCTCCCCCCACCCGACCTCATTGTGAGGTACGTGAATGTTATTCAATAGAATATAAGAATATTTTATTACTTAATCATTTGATAGAGTAAAAGGTATACATAAATTTAAAAAAGACACGAAGGGGGCACGAAATCGTGATACATGTACATGTTACACGAAAACGAATATCAATACATGTAGGTCACAGTATGATTTCCTATTCAGTGTGTATCACGATTTAAGAAATATGATACATAAAACATGATTTAAGAAATATGACACATAAAACATGATTTAAGAAATATGACACATATACATGATTTAAGAAATATGACACATAAAACATGATGAATTAATAAGTATGACCCATACAACATGTTGAATTAAGAAATATGATACATAATACATGTTGAATTAAAAAAAATATGATAAATTCATTCATCAATAGCTTCAATGTCTCATCAATGAGATTTAAACTAGACTAAGTGATTAGAAGTAAATAGTTATAAAACAAGGTATTGGTATGGGAACAAAAAGATTAAAGTAAATATATAAATGACTGTTTTAATTTGAGAGCATCAACATTTTTTACCTAAAGTACAATAGCTTCTTCACCAAAAATGTCTGCGTCAAACAATTTGTCTATTACCAATTTTTTTATAATTTGTTTTCTCATAGATCCTCTAAAATCCAGTTTTAGATATTTAGCATGCATCACTTATTCCTCTCTATTTAATTTATCCGACCCCCTCCAGGTATGGGGTTTCTAAAAATTTACTGCCGTCAAATGCCATTCTGTTGAATATTGCTGGCTAATTATAACTAAACAAATACTGAAAATCTATATATTCTGAAAAATTTTAATATTATATTTACGTTCTTCTGGACAGGCCCCTAATTTCTGTTACGGCCAGAAATCACCTTTAAATTGTAGCCAACAAAAGACAAAAATCAATAATTAATTCAAAAAGTTTTGTAATACAATTTTACAAGAAATATTATACAAATAAAAATGTCAACTTAACTTGAACAATATCTGAATGTTCGATCCTAGTCTTTTCTTTATCCGCAATTCATCTCTTAACTATTGTGGAATCCAAATGGAATATTATTTCCAATAAGTTCATAAACTAGTCTGATGTTATAGAACTTACCAATAAACAACTCCAGAGATCTTTTGAGAATATATTTCTTGTTTGTCTAATTAGTGACTGTATTTATAGTTACCACGGAAATATCTAGAACACTGTAGAAGGGGAACTTCTAGAATCTGTAGAAGGGAAACTTCTAGAACATTTTAGAAGTTTAAATTACGCATCATAGATTACGATCATTCTGGAATTATTATGCAAGTCAAATAGAAAGTTCAAACTCATAAGTCGAAAATAAACTGACAACGCCGTGGCAAAAAAAGAAAAGTACCAACAGACAAACAATAGTACACAAAACACACCATAGAAAACTAAAGACCGAGCAACACGAACCATTTCAAAAACTTGGGGTGATGCCAGGTGCTCAACAAGGGTAAGCAGATCCTGCTCCACATGTGGCACCCGTCGTGTTGCTCATGTTGGTACAAACCGGGTAATAAGTCTAATTTGGCAGGACACATTCGGGAAAAAATTACGGGATTGTATTTTCGACATTAGGAACATATCCGCTATCATCTATGAAACGGATATTATATAATGGTCAACCAACTTGTGATGGCGTCCATTAAAATTACGAAGGAATAGTTTCAACTTCACCACTTGGAGCTCTTTGTTTAATAACTTCCTTGTGAGCAGCAACCCTCTATCAAGGAAATCATGATAGGAAATACAAGCCTAATTATTCCATCAGTAACTACTATTGTTCCAGTGAATTCTAAACTGCAAAATAACATTTTGTTGTAAAATAAAAACTATATATAGGTCATAACCCAATTATGTAAACAACGTGTAAGGCCACACAAAACAAATGAAGCTTAGATAAATAATAATTATAATTACAATCTCATAACAGAAGCATCTAAAACAAAAGGGAGCTTCTTGTTGCAGTCTTATAATAGACAGCTCCAAATGGTATACATGCAAAATAGCTGATCTTTACATTTTTTTCGTAATAAAATGCTTCATAGAAATTTTTGTTCATGAACATATCATGTATATAGTACTGGAAATTAAGATTTAATTGAAAAAAGTATCTCATGCTACGAAGAACATAAAGTTTATCGTAGAGTCAAAACTACTGTTTACTACTTTCTTTTTGCTGTGTTTATTAGTCCTCCCAACTTCTAGTAAACGTGATTTACTCCGACTGTCCTCGTTTTATGATGCAAAAAGATGCAACGTTGATGTTTCAATTCAGTATATACTTTTAATCAAACAGAAAACATTGAGTCTAGAATAAAGTTCACCGGAAACTGTAGTTGAAAATATCAAATATTGATGATGATATGGGACTAGCTCGCTCTCTAAATTTTCTTTCATTTATTAATCATATAATCGTAAGTTGTTTATTTAAGTTGTATGCACCTTACAATATCACTTATATTCAGCATGTTTGCGAACGTTAAAATATAGACATATACATGTGAAGCAGGATCTGCCTACCCTGCCGGAGCACCTGAGATCACCCCGGTTTTTTGTGAGGCTCTTGTTGCTCAGTCTTTATTTTTTTATGTTGTGTTTTGTGTATGGTGTTTGTCTTTAAGTCTTTTTTTCCATGGCGTTGTCAGTTTATTTTCGACTTATGAGTTTGAATATATCTTTGGTATCTTTTGCATCTCTTTTTCTACCACGGATTAGGATATAAGTAAATTAAACTTTTTATTTTCTACCGGTATTATGTGCATTAAAATGATTATAAAACCGTAATGTATTCAACACACGTATAAAGTAAATTAAACGCATTATCGTCGTTAGCACTTCTGTGTTGACTTGAAATATCTTTGATATGGTCACAAGTATACATTTACTGTTTTACTGTTTACAAAACTTTGAATTTTTCCAAATACTTAGGATTTTCTACCCCAGAAAAAGATTAACATAGCTGAATTTGCTAAACCTTTCGGAATTTGGGGTTCTCAAATGCTCTTCAACTTCGTACGTTATTTGGACTTTTTAACTTTTATGATTCGGGCGTTAGTGCTGAGTCTTTTGTAAACGACATTTGCGTCTGACTTACCCAATTTTAATTCTGGTATCTATGTTGAATTTATTTACATTGAAATTTACTACGGAAACTTAAGCAAGCTTCTAAATGACAATGAATGTGGCATGTATATTCTAGTATATATGCACTGTAAATGAAAGCGGTCTTTTTCAATGCCGGACCGAAAATGTTCTGAATTTAGATCATACGACAATAAACCTGTGCATAATTTCAAGCCCCTTAAATTTATAAAATTCTCCGATTGAATGTAAAATGGCAAATTAATTACTTATAATCACGTTTAAGATGCTTTCACTTAATGTTATGACACAGAAAGTAGACGAGCGAATATCGACCAATTACTAATGCAACGTCATTTAGACCTTCCTTTCACTGAATTAACTGTTTCTGCAAGGACATTCCCCTATCAGTCAATAATTAATATTACCGTTAGCTGGTTGCTCATGTATTTTAAAGAATTTTTAACAAATCATTCCACTTCACCGTAATATGTAAGAGAAATGTGGGAAATAAATAGTTATTAAATCAGGGAATAAAGTTCTAAATATTTGTATAAATACAAATGTATTTCGAGGGAATCTTTTTGACTATAGTATGTGTTTGTGCATTAATAGGTAACATATGTATGTGGATAATAATTTGCAAAGCAAATGATTTACGGACAGTAACAAATGCCTTCATACTGGGACTAACTACCGCTGACCTTTTAGTTGCTGCGGGAAACATGCCAATTACAATACTCACATTTTTTTTTGGCGAATGGTCACTCTCGGACAGCGGTTGTATTGTATTTGGGTATTCAAATATGCTAACATTAGTACTGAGCGTCATGTCTTTGTGTAATATAAGTATTAACAGATATATTATGGTGTGCAAACCTTTCTACTTCAAAACAATATATACCAAAAGGAACGCTGTTATTATGATATGTAGTAAGTATGGTTTATTTTAAGTGTTTTATTTTATTCCTCTCGACCTTTTCTAAAATATGTGTTTAATTTCTCTAAACATAATATATTTTTCATTCAAATATTGTTACAACTTCAAGAGAATATGACCATTTTGATTAAATTGTCTCCATTAGAAAAACGCCTTTTCTTATACATTTTTTTAGTTACTCTAAATGAAATATATTTTTCATTGAAATTAATGTTACCATATTTAGAAAATGTGACCATTTCAATTAAATTGTCTTTTTTATACCGAAGTTTTCTAAAATGACATAAATATAAATACCCAATTCCATATATGGTCAACTTTTCCTGAAGGAGTTGGAACCTTAATTTCATTATAATTTATAATTTGTTAAAGGACAATTTTAGAAAGTTTTGTCATATACCGAAATACTGCATGACTATTAAGCTGATGATACCCGGGGATTGATGACGTTATACACCCTAATCAATCAAAATGTTTTGTTTGATCGTACTTGGTGAAGGTAAATCCAGTAAAATGCTTTGGACACACAAAAGTTGTAAATTGTTATTTTCATTTACTCATTTCGTATCATACCCATTTCGTACCATTATGATTCGTACCAAAGATCATCAAATCGTACCAAAAATTAGTCATTGTGTACAATCAACAAAGATAATGTCGTAGTATACACTGGCGTTACATCTTACTAATTCTATCCTAATTATTTTTGCAAAGAATTCCTCTTAAGCCGGTGCTTGGGGCTGTTTTAAACTTGCAGTGAGGTGAGAGTTTTTATCTCAGTGTTGAAGGCCTCACTGAGTCTTTGAGATGAAGAACAGTAATAGAAGCGCTGTTCCTTCGCATTTTGTGTTTTTTTGCTCTGCATGTACTGATTTTGTCATAGATGGATACCCCATATCCTTTGTGTTTTATTAATAGCCATTTGGTACAATATAAGCAACTGCATGCATAATTATGTTGTACCATATGTTAAGGTACGTCTGTAGAGGAAAACATTTCAAGGACTAAATTCCTTTAGATAAGACGGCGGTATGCATTACTAAAAACAATAACTAAAAATCACTTAATATTAATATTACTCTGTCATTTGAAAAGTTTTGATAACCATATACATAGGAGTGTAGTAAATGCAGGTGGAGATTTGAATGTATAGATCTAGATTGTTTTTCATCTTGCTAGTATTAACATTTTTAGCATAACAGTGCGTTGAATTTATTTACTACAGTAATACTGCATTAATTTAAAATGCTTTGCTTATGACCTTATCTCTCATTGTATTGCTTTGCTTTTTTATACTTGCATGTTCACTCTATTTTTTAACAGATTTAATTAAAACAAATTGAAAAAGTACATTATATTGTATGAACATTGCCCAACTTATTACATTAGAAATATTCAACCAAGAGGAAGTCCTGAAATGTCATGCCATATAAAATTAAATCTGTTAAAATCAACTGAACCAGTAGTGGTATAACCTTTCAAGGAATTAAAACAAAACAGTTTACAGTGTATTAAGGCTATACAAGCACAAAGCATTCATATTATTACCTGCATCTGCTTTTATAGTCAGTGATAGATGATTTTTTCATGAAATGCTGTGAAAAATGACACAAGTTATATTCAATCAAGAAAGATATCATGAAATGTCATATCATATAAGATTAAATCTATTAAAATTTACAAACTCATCTGTGACATAACCTTTCAAAGAATTAAATCGAACAAGTATACATTGTATTAAGGCTATACCAATTAATATGCATTACACAACACATATAGTATATACACACATACAAGACATTTTAAAATTTTAGAAACAGCAACAAGCTTAAAAAGACAAAGACAAAGAAAAATTAAGTTAATTTAAGGACTTTTAGTGCATTTCGAACTTTTTTATATGTTTACTTGTCTGGATGCAGATTCGATTGTATATATACTGTCCGAATGAAATTTTAAATATCTTGTACTTAATACATTACTGGTCCCATTGTCAAGTTCATGGATATTTGTAAATGTTTTATATTTCATCATTGATATTACACTTTTAGATTTCATTTGATAACCAAAGGCAATTCCGGTTTTATTGACCTTGGATCATTTTAATTTCGACTTGCATAGCAAATACATGTACAATGTTTAACTTAATTGTATCTGTGGACGGAGTTTATCGTGTTTTTTCAGTGTAAGGGTAATTAACTAACAAAATTGAAAATTATTAACATCATCTGCTTTTATAGTCATTAATAGTTGGTTTTGTCATGAAATGATGTGAAATGTGACACATTCAAGCTAATATTCAATCAAGAGGGAAGTCATGAAATATCAATGTTGTGATTATTCAAAAAAATTGCACTATATCAAAATTTGATAAAATAATTATTTAGTCATGAAATACTGTAAATAAACAGCTGCGCCATGAGCGCATGATACGTCCGTCGTCTTGTGTGTGAATTTTTATGCAATAATCATAAATAGTTTCTGACATACGGCACGACATGTGAAAACCCCCCTTTTTTTAACAAAAAACTCAATATCTCTAAAACAAAATTTTGAATCAAAACCAAAAAGTATACAGATCTTTAGATCAATATAACTAAGAAGTGTGTAAAATTTTAAGCAATAATCATAAATTGTTTTTGAGATACGGCGCGACATGTGGAAAACCTCTCCCCCTTTTTTATAAAATACTCAAAAACTCAAAAATAAAATTTTGAACCATTTCCAAAAAGTATACAGATCTTTAGATTATTATAACTAAGAAGTGTGTAAGGTTTTAGGCAATAATCATAAATTGTTTTTGAGATACGGCGCGACATGTGAAAAAAAACACACACCTGTTTTAGTTACTAAGTCCCGTAACTCAAAAAAGTTTTAATCTTATTTTAAACAAAAAGTATACAGATCGTTTGACCATCATAAGAAACAACTATGTTAAGTTTCATGAAATTTGGATACGTTGTTCTCAAGTTACGGTGCGACATGTTTACGCCGGACAGACAGACGGACAGACGACATTTGTATACCATAATACGTCCCGTCAAAATTTTGACGGGCGTATAAAAACGACACAAGTTAATATTCAATCAAGGATGAAGTCATGAAATGTCATGTTTTCGTAACAATTTGAACCTTTTGTGACTATTCCAAGAAATTGCTATATATCAAAGAGTGAGAAATAAAGGAATTGTAATAACAAAAATTATATATCCAAATTATATAACCAAATAGTTTCTGACTGTTATTTATAAAATAATTTTACATTATTTTGAAATCCGACAATTAACTAATTTAACGGCCACAACCACGAGTTGGTTGACAGGTATGGAATGTCTGCTTCACTGATGACGACGGATATGTTTAAATTGTCATAACCACAACCCCGTCCTCTTTTTTTAAATGTGACTTGCCAATTTAGAGTTATCAACGAGTTTGTACCTGAGAAACACGGCGGGTGCCACATGTAGAGCTGGATCTGCTTACACTTCCGGAGCACTTGACATCAACCCCAGCTTTTGGTGGGGTTTGTGTTGCTCAGTCTTTCGGTGTCAATGTTGTAGTCTGGTACTGCTGTTTGTCTTTAAGTCGTTATTCGTTATTTCGCAAAGGCTTTGTCAGTGTGTTTTCGACTTATTAGTGTGAATGTTCCTTTTGTATCTTTCGCCTCTCTTTCGCATATTTTTAATGTGTTTTTCATTGATTATTTTAACCGGCGAACCACAAAGACACGCGTTGCGATTCCAAAATGGCATTTGTACTAAATTAACAAATTTGATGTAATATAGAATAGTTGCTGCCGTGAACATTTTATTTTTGAAACAATATGTTTGCATAGAATAGAAGTAACAAAATAAAATTACTTCAAATATTACTAAACATATTTTAATATTAACAACTTTCAATAAATCTTTCTTTGAAAATTAAAAATAATCATGTTAGCAATTACCACTGATGGGTTCCTCTTTCAAATAGCACGTGTCTTCTGTTCTTAAATCAAAATCAACTAGCAAATGCAACTGAATTATTTGCCTCCTTGGTGAAAAAAATCATGTCATGAATATTGTTTGTCCAAATGGTATGGAATTGTTAACAAATAGCTGTTTTATATGGTGCAAAATTGCAAATACACGGTCTGATTATCATCTTTTGTGTTGGTTTATATGGCAAGAAAATGCATCATGGCAGAATCCTTTTTGTACGAAATGGCATTCATATTATTTGCCCATATGGTACAAAATGGCATTCATATAAGTCGTCTTTATAGTAGGGCATGGCCATGGTACAAAATAGTTTTAGTACGTGAACGTTTTATTCATGGAACGAAAGGACTTTATTTCTTTTATGCCCGTACGAAGCTACAGTTATTTTTAAGCCATTCTTGTGCTTTTGCATTTCTATTTGAATTATTCGTTTAAATAGTTTGAAAGAATTGCTGTTACAGAGGACATATTCAGTTACGTGTAATATTTGTTAGACAAAAAGTCTGAATATAACGAGCAAATCTTTATTATACAGTACATTTGGGCTCCTTCGCTATGTATGAAGAAAGACATGAGTTAAATCGTCATAGGTAACAAATTCAGATACAGTGATCAAACATGAGAAACCAATGGAGATAATTGAAGTTTTAATTTAAGAAATGATTTTGTTTTAAGCTGTATTTAGTTGTTAAATTATGATCGTAGCACGTTTTGTATGGAGCGCGGAGGTATTCAATTACTACAACCACATGTAAATGATAAGTACTAGTTGATTCAAAGGTTTTATATAAAACTTTACACGTAATGTTGCCATGGAGAGCCCGTGCAGGTATAGGTGCTGCGATTTATTTTGAGATTAAAACAGAACTTTAAAGGTCCTCATCATTTCTGCATACAAGTCAAAATGATGGCACCCAATGAAACATCTGTGTGATATAATCATTTAGATAACAGCATAAAAAAGAAATTCTAAATAGGTCGTAATCGATGTTCTAGCAGTGAACAAACTTAATGGAAATAATCAACAATACAATAACTTGTTTAGTATTAGCGTTGGAGACCGTATATATGTTTACTTCACTTATGCATTGCATTCTATGTGGTAAGTATGCTTTCACATCAATAATATCTTTTTTATTCCTACATAAGACGTGAAATATGCATATTGGTTGGTATCTTTGATGGTTTTTTTTCAAAATTGAAACTTTAAAAAAATATTATATATATATATATATATACTGTGTACAAATGTCATGTTGTACAAATTATAATTTGTACAGATTTTTTGTACAAGTTATCGAAGTTTTATGAACCGCTTAACACAAATTGATGATGCAAGCACACAGTCTTTTGTTTCGCATATTTATGTCAAATTTCCATGACTACATTATACAATTTAATACTGATCATTGATACATAAAACATTATAAGAACACAAAAAGACTTTTTATGGATATGATTTTGGTATAAGGAGAAAACTAAAAATAGAATTTAAACTATTCAGGTGTCTTTATAACCAGTTTGAGGACAAGGAAAATAGCACTAAATGTTAAGTTGAAGTATATAAATTTGAATTTAAGACATTAAACTGATATATTTTAGAAGATAAACTCTGATCACCGGGTGCAAAAAAGGTATGTGTCAAAAAACTTATAACTAAATTATAATTTGTACAAACTTACATCTTGTACACAACATATATATATCTTAATGCTCAGGGAACAGCACAATAACAGAATAATACATTTTCCTTTAAATATCAACAGCAATTCATTTCCTGACCTTGAAAAAATACAAGCCGTCAGCTTGAAATTTGACTAACTTATTAAATAAAATAAAGACAAAGAGGTGTCTTCTTACCCAAATACCATACCCTTTCCTCTTAACAATTCATATTACTAATCATTCCTAAGTTGCTATATTTCTCTCTTAATTGAAAGAAAAGGGAATTAAATTTTATAAGTATTTTGTGTCATTTGAACTGAGTGTGGATTCACATGGCGGATGGTTCATAAACAACAGGAGACGTTTATCCTGTTAACACACCCGGTCTTCAGTTTTTTTAACCTTGATTTGTATCTTCTTAATGGATTTATCTATAAATTATTTGTTTTCCTACATAGTTGTGAAGCTGTCGTATTTTCTCGTTTGAAACTTAAGATATTGTGTTCAACATTACATGAAATGACGTCACATATTAGATAAATATTTGTTGAAAGGATACATATGTTTCAAAATGTACTTACTTGTGTATAAGTAACATCTGTGGCTAACTATGATCTGTTCAGGGTATTTGAATGAAATCACTTGCCTGTAAAATTCAAGTGTGTAATTATGCTAAAATTAAACGATACTATTTGTGTGCGTGCGTACATGTTATTCAAGAACGCGTATTTTGCCCAAGAAAATAGTATCATACGCGATTATAATATACTTATTAAAAACATATAGTTATACTAAATGAATGATTTTGAACAACCATGTAGTTAAAATGTAATAAGCAAATCCAATAAAACAAAAAAAAGGTAACAAAAAATCATGTCAACAGAACTATACAAATTATACATTGAGACAGATCGAACAACTTTGTGGCCAAATCAAAAAATATAAATAGGCAAATAAGTCAATTTTTCCGAAGCCCCCGTCTAATCTTCTCCTATAATATATATATATAAGTAAAGCTAACAGAATACATAAAACATGATTGCAACTGATACCATCATCAGAATAAGTACAAGCTCGTGTTTGTTATGCATGTTTGTAATACAAATGTATAAATGTTCAAACGGTTTAATACACATCTGTCTGGGCAAATATTAGCTGTACTTAAAGTTCAGGAAGTCAACAGAAGATTCGAGTACTTGTTATCAGTGTTACAAAAATTTAACTGATAGTATACAAAATCGATTATAACAAGTTTGAATATTAACAAAGTTCGATATTTTAGAACAAAACAAAAATGTGTAAAAGGATGTAAAGTTGTATAAAACCGAATCACTTGATTCATTAAGGTCAGAATAACTGTTTCAACCGTATGTGAGCTTGCAAGTATAAATTTTCTCGTTTGAAATTTTGGAACTTAGAATGTTAATGTATTTAGAGGAAACTTTTCTCATAATAACGTGTGGTTGTGCCTTTACTGGCAATGTATGTATTTGGATCATTATATTGAAGTTTTCTGAATTGCGCAGAATTACGTATGTATTTTTACTTGGACTTACAACGGGTGATTTATTAGTCACCACATTAAATATGCCTATTACTATATTAACTATATTTTTTGGAGAATGGATTTTTTCAACAAGAACGTGTATTTTATCTGGCTATTTCAATATGGTGACTTTGGTACTCAGTGTACTGTCTTTGTGTAACATAAGTATTAATCGCTTCATAATTGTGTGTTATCCGTATTATTTTGCACAAATCTACACGCCAAAACATACAGCCATAATGATGTTCAGTAAGTACATTTTGATAACATCTATTGAAATATTTGTTGTTTTACCTAAGTTAATATATGGATGGTTAAATATATATCTTCATAATAAACTTTGTTCGACAGAGATGAGCTTTTCGTAACGATGACAAATCTAGGAAATGGCAGTTATTGCTTTTAATATTGGAGTTATCTAAAGTAAGTTCCTTTTGGTTAATTTCGGCAGTATATTTAGATAATTCTTGATTTTTTAGCCATATGTATGGTTAAATATATATCTTCATAGTATACTTTGTTAGACAGATATGAACTTTTCGTGACGATGATGAATCTAGGAAAGGACAGTTATTGCTGTTAATATTTGATTTATTTAAAGTAAATTCCTTTGGGTAAATTTCGGCAGTATATTTAGAGAATTCTTGATTATTAAGCGAACAAATATCATCAAGATAAAGGTAACTGTTATTGACTTTATCAGTTAAATGGAATTTAGACGGGTCTTCACTAAGTTTGACCATAAACTGTGATTCATAACCGTACATGAACAAGTCTGCTTTCAAAGAGCCACAATTGATACCCATAGGAATACCTTCAACCTGTTTATACACTTTTCTATTTCCGAAACGCACATAAATGCTGTCAAGGATAAAATTAACGGCTTTAATCATCTCATCGCAAATCCAGTAAGTATATCTAGCATATTTACCTTTCTCATTAGAGGAAAATGCTTCATATGAGTTGCAGCAAAAACATTTGCAATCAGATTTTTTAAATTAATTATACTTTGTTCGGCAGAGATGAACTTTTCGTGCCGGTGACGAATGAAGTTGTCCATCACATTTTCAGATTCCAAATGAGTGTTTGCTGCGTTTAATTTACTGTCCATATTGTACAATATATACCTTTATCTGTTTATTCGTAAAATGTTAATGCTGAAAGTAAAGAAAAAAAAATCAACCAATATAATAGTTTACATTTAAAAATGTTTGTAAGGACTTGTAGTTGAGGGAGTGGCATACTTAAACGCCAATTCAACTAAGAATTGCTAAACCCTTTTTATTATACTAAATCAGACTAACTTATTTTCCTTTAACGCTTAATACGGTG